TTCTAAGAGTTTTGTCTCATTTCCTTTCCAAAACAAGCACTTCTTTCACTTGTTAGAGGTCTCATGTCCTGCACCCCATTCCACATCAAGTCGGAAGACTTCCTCTGAGGTTGTCTCCACTTTGGTGACACTCTCAAGTAGAAAGCAAATGATTGGGAAAGGTCCCCTCTCACCGTTATTTTTTTCTCTTTGTCTAGAATTTGATGGAGACATAATAGGTGAATACCATAACCATGAAAGCATTTAGTATAGTTCTGCCAAATATGGTGTTGTAGGTCGCTAGTGCATCGACTGTGATGATGTTGGATATTATAGTGTACTAGTGCTCGCCTTCTGTTAAAGTGGCTAGCAGGGAAAGAACTCCTTTGGTGTCACAATGCTAGCCGAAGAAGCTTTAAAGAGGTCCTACAATGGGGTGGTCTCAATAGGGTCCTGTATTGGTCCCTTACTTGAGTTGGTGGGCATGAACTACTTTAGCTTCCTAATTTTAATTAATACCTCCATGAGGCCATAAAGGTGTCTACATTCTTCTATGGGGGTATCTATTGTTTCACTCGATAGATGGATGTTGATACCTCCTCTTTTTATGGTTTCATGAGGGTCACAGGTGAGTTAACATAATTTCAGCTCATAATGGAGGGTACCATGTCAACAAAATGTACCGAGTAGGCTAGTATTGGTTCATTGTCCTTGCCCACAATAGGGTCCTATCATGGTACCCGACATGAGTTGGTTGGCATGAACTCCATTAGCTTCCTGATTTTAATTAATTCCTCCATGAGGCCATAGAGGTGAATGCATTCCTCTGTGTCATGACCATGGTCACTACGGAAGGTACTTTATCTGGAGGTGTCGTGAGGGTTTCTAGTAGTTTTCATCGGTAGTGCTAGCCTAAAAAACTTCTTATTCTGAATGTCTTCAATAAGTTCAACCATTCACAATCCTAGTGAATTGTAAGTAGGGTAGATAGGAGGTGGATGAACAGTCTCCTCATGGTAAGGATGAACAGCTCGAGGAGGCTCCTCAATTCTGAGCATTGCTTGTCCTATTACTCTTAAGGGCATTTACTATACGGGCACCCTCTACAAATCAAGATGTTGGTAGTCATGTGGTTAATTAGGTCTTCTGTCCCTTCTATCTTTGGGACTGATTCTTTCTTTATCCCTTCTTCAGTAGGGCTTCTTCTTGGTGGTGATATCATAGTAGGTCATCATAAAAAATTAAGCCACCTATTTGTATTTTCTTGCATTCATATATATGTTAACGATTTTTAATAATTTGGCGAGTTTCTGTGGTTGTTGCAAGTGTAGTGCATTTCTGAAAGGACCCTCCCTTAGTCCTTGGGTTAAGGCACCTTGATGATCATATGTTCCAAATCCTTAACATCCATCATTTCCCTTTGGAACCCCACTATGAAATTCCTTAGTAATTCTTAGGGCTGCTGTCACATCTTTTTAATCGAGTGTGTATGCTCTTCATTGGTCTTTAAGCACTAACAAATTGCTTTTTAAATATCCATTTAAATTCTAAAAATGAGGTGACTACTAATGATTTTTTAAATTATTAGTGTTTATAGTTAGCATTTATTATTGAATAAGTCTAGGGAATTCTTTTGATCTAGAATTCTCTCTAATTTTAGGCACCATTCATGTGAGGAGAAGTCTATTTATAGATTTTTAGAGTGATATTTTGATAAGTTTTGCTATATAAAAGAAATACTCCATTGGATGGTTGTATTAAATCCCTCCATTATATAGAATTTCTTAGGCCTTTCAAAGCCATAATAATATTGAAATTGAGTGAACTTAATCTCATTGTGATGCTTGTTTTGATTATAAGCATTTAAGATTTAGAAATTGTTTGGTCCTTCAAATAGTGTTGTGAAGTTTCCAATTATGCATCCTATTGGATCCAAATTTATTTGGTGGATGACCCCAAACCCTACTAGAATATTTGCTTTGTAAGTTGAGAGGAATTTCTTAGTGAGAATAAGCAAGAAGAGAGTCGGAAGGAAAGTACAAAAGGATAGGTTATCAAAGCCTTCACTATCTTAGTAAAGAGTACAATCTAAGACCAAAAAAGATCTATAACTCACTAAAAAGTCAAAATTTAGATCCCTTTACTATTCTTCATCACCCTATATTTATAGGGATTTAGAGGCTACAAGAAAACTTACATGGAAAAGAAAAAGATATGGGCAACAAACAAATGCTCATACAACACTACACACTAGTTTAGCACACATGGCACCCCTTAATTGGCCCTTAAAAGGTGAAATTAGAGAACTTATGTCCAGTCTCTTGTTGGTTTGGCTTAATGGAAGGCAAGTTGGCATCATAAAAATTTTGAGAATGGATACAGAACAAATGGGTTATCTTATGGTGTTGTAGATGATATATGAGGCTCATCATCACCCTAATGATGAAGGCATGGTATAGTGTGAGCAAGGATGGTGACTTTCAGAGCCTGAGATGAGTTGTAGTAGAAATAAGTGAAGGATTACTGAGGTGTTTTGCAATAGATGAGTTTGACGTGCTCGGAGAGGTTTCAAGGGTAAGGACTTGATCGATGTGAGTGATGATCTGCCTTCCTAGTTGAAAGGCCTTTTGGTCGCCCAACATAGAGTTAGTTCTTTGAATTGATATGAGTGAGTGGCATCCTTTTTTGGGTGAATTCTACTGGCGACTACAACTGAGTTCACCTAGAAATGTGCTCCAAAGAAGGAATATCGTTGCCATGATATGTTTTCTACCAGTCCAATACTTGTGAAGGAAACCAAGGGTATACACATCCAGTGCATGGATATGGGCTCATTTGGAATCATCTCATCCAAAAATTCATATTCATAATAAATTTGTCGAAATAAGCTTTTAGATGTTTTTAAATCAACCCAGAAAAAATTATATTCATATTTCATCAGTATTCATGCTTAATCAAGTAATTTTTCGATTGGCATATCAGTAAGTGATTGAAAAAATGTCTGTCCATTAAAGTATCTAGCCCAACTTCGATTCTAATTTTGTTTACACTCCTAATAAAGCTATTAAAAAAATGTTTGATGGGGAGTGATGATTTGTATGACTTTCATTTGAAGAGGAGATTATTAAGATGCCTATAATAATGAAGAAAATTTCCAAATCAAAATTATAATTAAACTTGAGTTTCTGATATACTACTAGTAATCCTTTCTCATTTACTTAAACTTTTTAATTGATGGATGCCCTCATATAATGTACTCAACTTGGACGAACTTGGAGTTCAATTTGAAAATTGATTATTTATATTTTAGCTTATCTCAATAGCATTTCAATCTTGTTTCACCAAGTATTTAAGACTATGCTAGTTATTTTATGTCATTTGGATGTCACCCTTCTTCGTATTGATGAAGTTATTGCAATCGTTTACTATTTAGTTTTTGTTAGATTATTATTGACTATCCTACTCAACAAATGTGATTTTGTATGTGAAATTAAGAAACTTCTGATGTTGAATTAAAATTTGCTTAATTTATTCTCTTCAGAATGATCCATCTTTTCATCATTCCTATCTTTATTTTTATTTTTTTTCCTCCATCTTTCATTCATCCTACATTACATGTGTTTCATTCCTAATAAACAGTTAGCTAATCTGTTCTTCTTCTGAACGTATTGTATGTATTTTATTTAGATCCCTCTGGAATAATAGCATCATAACTATAAAGTTACTTTAATAAGATCTTTACAGTTATCAAGCTGCTGATAGTGCTCATTTGGAACAGTTGCTTCATAACTATAAAGTTACTTTAAAAAGTTTTATAATTATTAGTGAAGAATTCTCCATTCCATCTGAAATTCAGCAGCTCTGAGTTAGATCTCCTTTACTAGTCTCTTAATCAAGCCAAATGAATACAGCATTTAGTGCAAATATAAAGAGAAGCGAATAAATCAAAAGGTGCTACACTGATTTTATCTGTTTTCTATATCAACCTTCTTTTAATTACAAGATTAGGATTATTAACAAATAAATGTGCTTTTCAATCTATAGACATCATTAAATAGAAGTTGTTAATAATGAAGATGATGTACTCCAAAGATTTGATAGATGAAACACATTCTGAAAGATTAACTGCTTTCTGGACTTATATTTATTGCCTTTTTTTTGTTTTTTTTTTTAATGAATGACAAAATTATCCTTAAAATTTATGCACCTTAAACAAGAAGTAATTATGTTATATAACAATTAAAAAATAGAAGAATGATCATTCTTCTCAAGTAGAAAAATCATCCCTTTCCCTTTCTCTCTATGTAAGGGCAGGAAAAGAGTCCTCGATAGTGCTCACTTACAATCATCTCAATGAGAGAGAAGCAAAAGAAAATTTGATATGCAAGGCTAATATATCTTGTAGCTCGGTTTGATCTGGTGGTTGGAAATTTTGGCTATCAACCAAAAGGTCTAGGATTTAAGTCTTGTATATATGATATGTGTGTGAGTTTGACTTAATTGACTTAAATATTAAAAAAAAAATTGATGAATTCATTGAGGGCCCATTGAGATATATACATGATATCTTTTCCAGCTGTTTTTATTTCTAGTATATCATGTGATGCTTGTGGTCCCTAATTCTGTAAAATGGTTGGTAAGAAGGCTCAGGCCTGGCTATGAAAATGACAACCACCATAGCATATCTGTATTTTGATATCTTTCACCGAACCCTGAGATACGGATTGACCCATAACATTCAAACACACTGTGCTCTGCATCCTCACATGAATTCAGCTTACAGAATCTTTCTTTGAATTATTCATTGAAGACTTCAGTTCTTCCACTAGAATTCTTATTTTGTTTTCATTCTGTATGAATTTAACATGTTCATTTACATAATTTAATGTCTTCAAATGCATTTGTGGGGACTATTTTTTGCTTTCTTACCTATGGAACCTATAGTTAGAAGTACTGTAATCATGGTTCTTTTGGCAGTGAACCGAATTTTTGTTTGAAAACTAAAAAAAGTTGAAAAAATAGAGGGGAAAAGAAACGGGTATGCATTCATTGATGCCTGTAAATGGAAACAACAATGAAGCTGAAAGCCTGAAACATACAATATTGAAGCAGGGAAACGAGAAGAAATTACTGCATGATGAAGAAAACTATATCAAATAATCTCTATTTCAACCTTGCTGCTTCAATGATCTGCATTTGCATTAATCTTTAGATTCAGTATCTGCATCACAAGGATTGCTTCCAATGAGATCATGAGGCAGACCCATGAAATTGTAAAGAGTTGGTGGGCCAAGAGCTTCCGAATTCTTTTTTTCTGTGTTTTTCTGAATAAAATACATACAATAGACTGAAATAATAAAAAACAAGTCAACTAAAACAGCTAAATTATTTCAATGAAATGATACAATTTACCTGAATATGTTGCAAACAATGAACAAAATGTTTCTGAAACGGTATTGTTTGCATGGAGAAAGGTTCTGAAACAGGCAGAAGACCAAGGCTGAGTAAGCTTCCATCAAGCTTAGAAGCTTCACCTTCAGCTCCGATATTGAGTCGAGGACAGCTCGAACTCGAAGAATCATCCCTTGGCATTCGTTCAAACACGTCGAATCAGCAGCTTTTGTGTGCAATACATCAAAATAAGAAAAGAAAATTTGAAATTTTTAATCGTATTACCTCGACGAAGCAATTCTTTTGTGATCTGTAGCAGACTGTAGAGCTGAACCAGATTGAAAGGGCCACGAACGCTTCAAGCTTGCCAACTAAAATTGAGATAGCGAGCAAATAAAAAAGAATATGAAAACAAGCGTAGAGGCAATTCTGTTGCATTACCTTCTGCTCGGGCATGGAAGGAGGATTAATGCTAACGTAGCTTTGGTTTGAAGGGGGCTCCATCTGAAGACAAGCTCCAGAAGACAAAGGAGGTGATAGAAAGTTATTGATCACCTGCATGTAGGCATCAGTCAAACACTTGCTGCTCAAATTCGAGCAAAAAAGTGAAATTGATCATTTTTTAATTTTTTTTTAAAGTTTTCAAGAACCAGAGAACATCTATGTTGCTCCTGTTGAAGCTTCCTGGGAGGTAGAGGCAACCGCGAGTTTGAATTAGAGGAAATTTCGCTCTGAATTGAGTTCCAAACTAATGGCGAAGAACCATCGATGGCGTCCGAATGTGGCCGGAACAGAGCATAGTTACCAAAATAGCAAGGTTTTTTGCTTTGCTCGAGCAAGGGGAAAAAGGGGGTTGGCGCGATGACGCTAACGGACAAATGCTCGCCGCTTCCGATGCCTCCAGCGCAGGAAGCCGTGGCGGCGATGTTCTCACTGGTTGAGAAGGCGGCGGCGATACTCTTCTGCTGGTCTTCTCTTCGGAGCTTCTCAAGCGCAGCGATTCCGAGCCCACGCTGCGGAATTTTATTGGGTTTGGGCTTCTTTGGCGATAAACCAGTTCTATCATTGCAGCCTCCATTGTTGGGATCTCCATCTTCTTGGAGTACCATTTTGGTTTACAAAGCGATCACAGAGTTGTAGAAGAAATTTTGTCTTTCTTTTAGATACAGGAGAGTACGAAGCTAGGTATTTGTGAGAAAAGTCGCCATCTTTGTATGGAAGTGATTGGAAGAGGAAGATATGTAAGTTGAAGAAGATGTTGGGGGACTAAAACGAAAGGGATCCAACTCCATGAAACGAAGTTATTGCCGGAAATCTGTAGGATGAGAATGGAAACGAATCCAATAGCTATTGCAGATGGAGTCTTTCAGGCTATCGATTGAATCTGCAAATCTTTCAAACATTTTGGAGAGGAATTAATTCAACCGAACGAGACAGAGATCCCCACCGCTCCCACCTTTGCCTGTTCATCCGACTGGCCTCCGTTTGTTTTATAAACGAAACATACTTTTTTTTTTCTTTTTGCATATTCCCGTGTAAGACTTTGCCTAACGGATCGGAAATTCAAACCGTAATTTGATTTTCTAATTCCATTGGTGGGATAAAATTAATATTGATTTCACATTGCATAAACCTAAAAAAAAAAAAATCATTTAATACTCGGACTTATATATATCATTAAAAAATTATATTGATCAAGCATGAATCTCGAGGCAAAAATCGAGTGGGAAACATAAAAAATTAAATTGGAGACTATTTTAACATATGATTTTAATAAACTTACTATCAAACTGAACGTCTCGAAATACAAACCCAATGACATCAAATTCAACTCAATCCAAGCCCAAATGAATCCAAATAAAAATCCCAAAGCATATTTGGAAGGTTCAATTAATAAATTGGATTACCAAACATATTCTAAATGAAACATGCTTATAGTCGAATCGAGCGGCTTGACGAGATGAATCCAACGAGCCCAGCATCGCCAAATTATGATATCATTTATATATTAAAATGCCCAATAAACAGTCCACGATTAAGGGATTTAACATCGATCGTCCATTCAAACCACTTCCAATTTATCCATGATTTCCTCCTATTTATTGGCAATGTCACTCTCAAATAACTATAAATAGATCCCTCATTTCTCTTGAGCGGGGACCCCAAGCAGGAAGGGAAGAGATGTAAGAAGAGAATAGAAGGAATAAGAGAAGAAAAGAAAGGAAGAGAATGAAGAGACACCTTGACCACCGCCGGACTTTAACCCGTCAGCCGACTGATACCAGAATTAAGCAATGAAGCAAGAAAAGAAGGAAGAAAAGGAAGATAACAAAGACACTTCTCAACCACCACCGGACTTCCACCCGACTGCCAACTAACGCTAGAATTCTGCTCGACTGTCGACAGACATATAATTTTTGCCTAAGATCCAATTGACGCTGGAATTCTACCCCACTGTCGTCTAACGGCGGAGTTCTGCCTAACAACCAAACTTCATCGGATTTCTGATCTCTGTATGTAACTAAATTTCTACCCGGGAGATGATTATTGTAATTTGATCATCCTCATTTTTCGGGAGGAGTCAGCCACATATAATCTAAGCAAACACTAGTGGAATCCTTTCAACTGGGTGTGGCCTATGATTTTTCCCTTTTCGATGGTTTCCACGTAAAAATTCTTGTATTTCTTTTTTATTCTGTTTGTGTGCTAGATATCCGTACAAGGCTAAGATAAAAAAATTTCTAACTCCACCGCCGCATATAATATGGCCCACAATAGTTTAGCATTGTCTGTTGGAAACAAGCCCACAATTCTAAATATTTTTTTAATGGACAACAGGCATAGAAATCATATCTTGGGAGCGTCCCACTCCAATACCCACTAATCCATGAATTAGTCTATGAATAATTGATGTTAAGTATGTGCCTCTTTTTATCTTGGGGGCAAAACGTTCCAATGGAAGGAACTTCATGGCCTTCCCTAGAGGAGCGAATTCAAAAGATGGTAGAATTTCAAAACGATATCCTTCCACTTCAATGAGAGACTCGACAACCTAAGCTAGCACCACATGAGGAGATTTTTCTCACTTGAGATCCACCACTGGTTGAAGAAGTTTAACTCGAACATCTACATGCAGAGATTCCTCTTCCTCCGCCAAAGAGGCATCCGCAACCACATCAATACAACTAACCTGCTGACACTACAAGTTCTACCCATCCTTCGCATGCAAGAAAGCAACCTTTCATTCCATTGGACATCCCTGAAGACTTAATAAGACTATATGTTTCTAAGCTCCCTCGCAAAGCCCTATGATATGAACTATGAAGATTGATTCAAAAAGAGTTCCCCATGGGAGGTGTGAGATAACCTCTTCGTTAGTGATACTTCCAGGAGTCATCACCCCTGATTAAAGTTATTCTTCAACACTCCATTCTAACAGGATTCAAACTACCAAGCATTGATTTCTATAATAGGGCATCTAACTCATACGAGCATATTGATCACTATAGAACCATTATACATATCCAATGCGCTCCTCTGCAAGGTTTTTTTTTGCTACCCTCAAAGGCAAGCTCGAACATGGTTCTATTCACTTACAGCCAAAATGATCCCTATTTTTTGTCAAATTTGCCAAAGTGTTTGTTGAATAATTATTGCTAATTGAAGAATTGTTAAAGATTCTTCTCACCTTTTTGGGATCCTCCAAAATGAAGTGAATTACTGAAGGAGTATTTTAATAATTTTCTACTAACACTTGGCAAATTCTAGGAGTAGATTCTGAATTGCTAAGAGTAGATCTTTTTGGAGGCCTCTATCCTGATTCCTTTTATTTAACACTCACATGAGACATGGTTCATTCATACGTCGACCTAGTCTATCATGTGGAGGTACAAATCTCTGTAGATGAAACCATAAATGCTCACAGAAAGAAGTTTGAGCAAACAAATGGAAAGTGCAAAAATGCAGCTTGGATGAATAATTCATTCTTACAATGAAACAAACAATTAAAGAATAATTTTCTTCTTAGGCCCCCATTTCCATAACATGAACCTCGAAAAGGGAAGGAGTATACATCGCTCAATACATCTTAAGTCAATATGTTGATGGCCATCCGAGATTAAGAGATTGTGAAATGGTTGAATCCTTTATAGCCGAATACAAGAAATTTGGATTAATATTATCATTTTCATTGTAGTTATGGCCACACTACCGAAGATTGTAAGCACCTCAAAGATGAAATTAAAAGGCTTATCTGCTAAGGTTATCTTCGATGATTTATTTGAGATCCACCTGCTCGAGAGGAAGCTCATCCCACTACGGGCAAAATCAATAATAATAGAGACAACCATTGAATAATCGTGTAATTGTTGGTGAAATTGAGACCATTATAGGAAGCCCCTTATTATTTGATCAGGTCTTATTAGTTGTAGATAAAAATTTGACATAAAAAAAGGCTCGTATTGATCATTTTATTACTTTTGATGATTCTAATTTATAGGGAGTAAAAACCACTCATCAAGATTTACTTGTGATTTATGTGGGGATAGGTGACCATGTTACAATATTAAAAGAATTCTTGCAGCTAATGGAAGCATCGGGGATATCATATTCTATTCAACTTTTCTAAATATGGTCTCACTATAGAAAAGCTTCAGCCTGTTGCATGTCCAATGTATAGGTTTGATAATTGACCTATACAAGTAAAAGGGATAATCAGTCTCTAATTTGTACTTAAAGAATTTTTTTGATAAACTATACACTCCATCCAGTTTATTGTAGTAAAGTTAGAATCGGGTTATAATGCTATCTTTGGAAGACCACTCCAATTGATCTTAAGGATTATCGCCTCCATCCATCACCTTAAAATGAAGTTCCTTACCCTGGTGGGATTCATTGTAGTACGTTGAGATCAATAAATAGCACAAACATGCCATCTTAGGCAGGTTCAACTATATCCTACAATTACCCTAAACATTGAGGATTTTGATCTCTGAAGCGAGGATATCCCTCAGAGGGCTTCTCCTTTAGAAAATCTCACTACTTTATCCATATTAGAAGAACACACTTTAAGGACTGTGCAAATTTGTCTCTCCTCTCAAACAAGAAGAAGAAGAAATACGTAGATTCTCTACATAGGAATCAGGATTTTTTTGCATGGAGTCCAATAAATATGCTTGGAATTGACCCTGAAGTGACCGTGCACACCCTCAAAGTCAACATAATGTTTAAGCCAGTAATCTAGAAGAAATAAAAATTTGTACTATATTCTCTGCAAGTAATCCAACAGAAATTGATAAGCTTTTAAAAGTTGGATTTATGCAGGAAGTGCAATACCCCACTTGGTTGGCGAATATTGTCATGCTATAAAAGGAAAGTGGGGCTTAGAGAATATGTGTAGACTAAACAGATCTCAATAAAACCTACCCAAAAGATAGCTTTCTGCTTCCTCATATTTACTAGTTAGTCAATACCACCTCCAGGCATTAGATGTTGAGCTTTATGGATGCCTACTATGTTATAATCAAATAAAAATGAATCCTGCTGATGAGGAGACAACGACATTTTGACTTGACAAAAGGTTATACTGTTATATAGTGATGTTGTTAGAGATCAATAATACTATAACCTCTTATCAATGCCTTATGAATAAGGTTTTCAAAGACCTTATTGGGCACTCTTGGAGGTATCCGTTGATGATATACTGGTAAAAAGACTTAAAATTATCTCAACATATATTTGACTTGGAATAATGCTTCTATATGCTATGATGCTACAACATGCGCAAACACTGACAAGTATGCTTTTGGAGTCACCTTTGAAAATTTCTTAGGGTTTATGATAACCCACCAAGGAATTGAGGCCAATCTTGAGAAAATTAAGGCACTAAGGGACATGGTGCACCCAAGGAATATCAAGGAAGTCCAGAGACTAAATGGAAAGATTACAGTATTATCTTATTTCCTGGCTCATTCAAGAGACAAGTATCTGCCCTTCTTCAAGATACTCAATGTTACTCATAGCTCCAAATTCCAATGGATCGGTGAATGTTAAGAAGCCTTCAAACAGCTACAAAAATATTTGGCATCTCCACCACATTTTTTCCAAATCAATACCTAGAGAAAAGTTGTATTTGTATTTAGATATTTCTGCCCAGTCAATAAGTTTGGTCTTGTTCTAAGAAGAGAATGATGTATAATGTCCCATTAATTATGTCAGTAAGATCATTTTCTCAAATAGAGGGACATTATACCCTAAAAGATAAAATAGCTTTGGCATTAGTTTACTCTGCCAGGAAACTAAGCCCTTACTTTCAAGATCATATAATTGGATTATACACAAATCTGATGTTGAGAAGTATCCTACAAAAGCATGAAGCACCTAGCAGACTCATCAAGTGGTCTATATAACTAGGAGTGTTTGACATCCAATACTTGCCTAAACTTGATATCAAATCTCATGCACTTATAAATTTTGTGGTTGAATGCATCATCCTTGTAGCTGACAATCTACTAAGTACTTCTCCTTCTTCCCTGTGTTAGACCTTGTATGTT